AGCTGGACTCATAGAGGACACTGCCATGGGCTCTAGGTCTCCAGCTGGACTCATAGAGGACACTGCCATGGGCTCTAGGTCTCCAGCTGGACTCACAGAGGACACTGCCATGGGCTCTAGGTCTTCAGCTGGACTCACAGAGGACACTGCCATGGGCTCTAGGTCTTCAGCTGGACTAATGCACAACAGTGCTATGGGGTCCAAGCTCTTGTTTGGGTTCTTGGGTTCTCTAGTATGTGAACAGATCTCCTGTGTTGTTTTACATTTGGCTCTTTGGGTGAACATTATCAAGTAGTCCTATAAACTATGTGTCCTGTATTAAATCTCTTCCCTTGGAAGCCCTGACTATATCAAGGACCTACGCTGCTTCCATGGCTGAGCTACTCTGGAATAAATACAAATGTGCAGCTATCTCTGTAGCATTCTAACTTTAACTCAGGAATACACTGAGGTATAGTATAGCTGACTGAGACAAATAGTTTCACTAAACTAGACACTAAGACAGCTTAAACTACTTTAAATTAGCAGTAAGATATATGAGTAAGAAAATAGATAATGTAACATCAGAAGAATGAAAAGAGGGGATGGTAATAAATGGTTCTCATTTGTGCTGAGTTCATTAGTTTGGACTAATGATGGTAGTTGTGTTTATCAAGAATAGCACAAGAAGAATATAATTGAGAAAGAAGACCACACGTTCAATTTGAGATAAAATTCTCAATGTGAATTAACAGTTGGAAAGTTAAATAGTCTACTTACTTTTGTTATAAATATAGACTTGAACCTTAATTATCAAATCTGGATAATATTATCAAATAAAAAGTATATGGAATAATAAAATAGACAAAAGATGGGTCCTTGGTAGTACAACAAAGCCAGAAAAGTTTCCAGTGAACATGCAGAAGGAATTATTCAACAAGTAAGAGGAGAATCAAGGCAGTATAAACCATTGTAAGTCAAAGAGAATTTAAATGGTCAAAAGTAAAAAATTTGCTAACAGCTGATGTGTGCATGTCTGTGACCTCAGCACTTGGGAGGCTGAAGCAGGAGGCTTGTCTGAATTTGAGGCTAGCCTGGGCTACATATTAAAACCCCATCTCAAAAAAAAATAATAAAAATTAAAAAACCCTGCAAAAAAACAAACTAACAGCTCTTTTCTAAATCTGAAAGAAACACTAACAGTGAATACTAAAGGTGTATTTCAACATGGGCATGTACATATTGTTTCATTAGTTTATACTATATTTGCCCCTTTTCTGTAATTTCTTTTAGAACTTCAGATTTTGAAAATGACTATGTTGCTCTGGTCTACAGAGAGGAAATGTAACTAAAAGAGTTAAACATTCATAGTTTGCTATTTTTAAAAAAGCATGACAATATTATTTATGCAATATTATAATTGCTTTTTCTATCTGAATCAAGAGTTAAAGAGTATCTAACATGGTGAATAAGAACATTCTGAACTAACAAATTGCTAATGTTCTGTATATGGAATATTCAAACCCAGCAAGTTCTCGGGAATACATAAACCTGCTTTAGTAATAAAATGCAAGATTTTGTCCTGTCTGTTCTAACAGCATCCTAAGATCTTCATGACCTACAAGTAGGCTCCTAATAATCATTAGTGGTTAGACTGCTAATATGACAGACAGGCACAAAAAGCAGACATAAAAGCAAACACAAAACTCGTGGTCCAAGGATTTGCTTTATCTAGGGACAAGGTACAGAATGTCACTCTAACTGGTTGACTACTTCAACCAGATATTTTTAAAAAATATATTATTTTAAAGAGAGTAGAAAAATAGGAGATACATTAGAAATGATAAGCAATTTCAAAAAAAAAACCCAAGAGAATATGAATCCAACAATGATTGTTATATTGCACACTGCTGTCTGCAATGGATTTGCTCTGATTATCAGATGTAAGCATGTACAATTGGTCAAAATAAAACTTTTAAGCATTAACTGCTACTTTCAAGAAACAACAGAAATCAGTAGTACAATCATCTTAGCTATCCTGTGTATATACATACATGATTTTCTCCCTGTGTTTCTTTTTTCCTCTTTTCTTCTTTCCTTCATTCCAATTGTTCATTCCCTTGGAGCAGTTTCCTTGCCTTTTATTATATCTATTGTACCATTTAGATTTTATTTACTCTTTCAGGTTCTTACACTACAGGGATGTTTACACATGTGAGTCTGATTTATTTTACTTATAACTATAGCTCCTAGTTGCATCCACTTAACTACGAAAGCCTTGAGTTTATTTTTTATAGCTGAATAATAATTTGTTGTTTAAAAATACCACACCTTTTTTTATCTATTCCTCAGTGGATGGGCATTTGGGTTTCTTGGAAGATATGTTTTATTTAAAATGTGTCATATGCTAAACCACAGAGCAAAGACTTTAAATTATCAAGTACATTCTGTCATACTTTCATATGATTAGAAGTTTGTAATAAAAGCAAAATGTATTTAATAAATTCTGACTATCTAGGATGATTCTTAAAACTTAGTGTATTTGGGGGTTTCCTAAGATCTCAAACAGTATCTGACATGCCAATGAATTTCATAATAAGTAATCAAGAAATACACATTAAACACTGCTAATTTAGTTTTTTGCTTTCATTACCAGGAGTAACTGAAAGTCATACAGCTCAATTTTCTTCATAATTTAAATGCCAATACTCAAAATAGCCACACAGACTTAAAAATACATGAAAAAGCAAAACCAAAACAGAAATCTTACCTTTTGAAATTCCTCCAACATTTTCTTTTCAACCTCAAATTGTTTCATCCAGCAATCTCTCTTTTCATCGTCTTCTTGGAATTCCTTTTCTTCTCTATCCCTCTGCACCTTGAGAGTTTCTTGTTCTCTGTCTTCTAGTTCTTTCTGCTCGTCTTGCCAAGCTTCATAAGACTGCCTACACCTCTCTTCCACTTCAAAGTACCCAAAGTTTATATCTGTATCATCTGCATTCATGACGAGAAATAACAGGATTATTTTAAAGATCAAATCTATCAAACCTGATATAATTTAAAATGGAAAATGAATTTTAAAGTGAGTAAATATGGTTAACACACTATCAAAGTAACATGATGGTGTTAGAAATTTGACTCAGTGGTAGACAACCCACCTACTATGTGCAGGTCCTAGGTTCAATGCCCAAGACTGCAAAAAACCAAAAACAAAACAAACAAATAAAAAATGATGAAAACAACAACTCCTCAAAATCAGACCAAATGAAAACAAAAAAGCAAAGTAAAAGTAATAGCATAAAAAAATGCATTTTTGAATACACATAAGAATTACATGGCAGTTCATAAAGAAGTAAATTTGTTCTAATGGTGTTTGTAAATAGAATATCATGTCCGCATCTTGTACAGCAATTAACCACTAGGAAGAACGTATGCAATGTGTTAATTATTGAAACTGTCCCACCAATTTGATTTGAAACTCTCTCATTGCTATTTGCTTCTCAATAAAATTATGAAAAAAGAAATTTGTCTTAAAATATTCCTGAAAATTTCAAATAAAAGTATAATGTTTATCTTTGTATATTTATTTAAGGAATAGTTAAGTGATATGGCTAAGAGATATTTAACAAATCCAGGATTAGTTATATTGCACAAATCTCAACCAGGAAAATGTTAAAAAAAAATACTTAAATCAAGTTATTTTAGAAGGCAGAAAGCAAATTACACGAACATGAAATTAGGTATAGTAAAGGTATATTAATTTTCAAATGTAATGTTTTCATAATTGTCAAAACCAAAAATGGTAAAAAGATTTTCGGAATAACTACAATCAACCATATAAAAACTATCACACTATCAACGGGCAAAGTGTTCTACCTGCGAAAACATAGTCATCCATAGGCAAATCAAGAGGACCAAGCTCAGAAGGAGAAGCAGAACTAGCACAAGAGGATGCGCTTCTCATCAGATCTTCTTTTTCTATTCCTGATAATACCTAAGGGAGTGAATACTAATCAATAAAATTATATTATTTATATATTAGAGATATACACACACTGAAAATTTTACTTACTTCAAGCTCCCTACAAATGCAGATCATATTTATAATTATTTTCTTCATGAGTAAAAATGTTTTCTCCACGTAAATAGACTATGTCATACCATACAAATGTTTTTCTAAAATTTAATCAATACTTCATGTTAATCTGCAATATTCAGTAAATCTGCTTGGTAATGATTTCAGAATATTTCTGCTAAACATATTTTTCCTACTTTTCCTTTGTTACCCATAATAATTTCTCATATATAAATACATTAATATATTTCATATGATAATAGAGAACTAAGTATTATTCTACTTAATGTGAATTATGCATGTCATAATTTCGATTACTAATTTTCTATCATGCTCTACTTGGAAAGATAAAAGATATTTAATGCAATGAAGTAGTAAACTGATAATTCAAAATTAGCATTTCAAATTGGAATGTTACAAAAAGAGTGAGAGGCATACACGTAATTTTCAAATGATGTCAAGCATCTTAAGAAAGAATAATAAAGTTATATAGAAGTAGTAAAATGAGAGGTAAAACTACAGCCAGTAAGTGAGTTTGCAGAGAAAATTCACATTCATTTGCGGGGCTTCAATATAACACATGTCTAGGCTTTCCTTCACTTTTACATGAACAATTTTTCCATTTTTAAAAAGTACTATATGTAGTTTATACAAAGCATTTAAACTGTAAGATTCAACATAGTACATTCCTAGGAAAAGCAAGACCACTACAATATATTTATTATTTTCCACAGAAATTTTAAGAAAAAAAATCAGGGAATATAGTTTCATTGCTTTATCCATATGAACATTAAATTACCAAATATTAAAGCTCAAATAATTATTTTAATTTCTTAAAGACAGAATTTTCTGTGGTTTTTGTATGTATGATATGCCAAACAATACTGAAAATCAAAAACCAATTTGTTTAGAACAATCACATTCTTTCACTTTTATATTGATGAAGATAAAAACAGTAAATTATCATTTTTATATAAGAAAGAAAACTACATTATTAACTGGAATAGAAAGAACTGTCAAAGGTTGAACATATACCTTCAATAATTGCTCAGGATTTTCTTTACATGTAGTTAATAACCCCATCCTTAGGTGCATATGATTTTTAGAAACAGCTCCATAATTACTGCCTGGGAAAAAAATGAAAAAAATATTGCAATGTCAAATACTAAAATATAATATATCTGAGTCCTAACCTTGTCTTAATCTTTTCATCCCAATTTCTATCAGAACACCTACTTGTCATTAATAGTACTCAAAAGAACAGAAAATAATGAATATCAAATGGAAGAAATTTGTTATAGTCTTTCTAGAAAATAAAAATAATAAATTTTTAATGTACTCTATTGATTACCTTTTATAGTTTTTGACTAAGATTTATTTTTCCCTGAGTATATAATCATGCTTTTAAAAAATTAATTCAATCCACAACACACTAACAATGTAATTTTACCCAAGCTAATGAAAATACTTTAATATAGATATTAGTTAAAAACCTAAGTACTATAATACACAAGATGGAATTTTATTCTTTATATTTTGAAAATTGTTTTAATTGTATTGTCTTTTTGTTATATGCTCAGATGCAGTCAGATTCTTTTTCCTTTGTTCAATTACTGTGTAAGTCATGGAACTGTTTCTTAATAATAAACTTCCTTTCCATAGGAAAATTCTGCTGGCTAACGAAACATTTACATCTACTTTGCAGGTATCATGTACTTCCTGCAATGACTACTTAAAATCATTCTGATGTATATACCTTCCTATGTGAGCTTAAAAGAAAAATATCCAGATTCTTTTGTGATTTGGGTTCTGGACATATATACAGTTGCATAAAACTTTATTTTCAAAAGGCAGGTAATGATATAGTTTTATCCCAACTTAGGATACAGGAAACTTTTAGCTGAAAATAGGAATGTGTAGAAGAAAATTTGTTCCTAAGAAGACTGCAGTGTGGTTCTGCAATGGACATGTTTTCTTTTCTTTCTTTTTTTTTAATTCTTTTTTCCTAACTTGAATGTTCAGCCTAGAGTCTGTATCTTCAAACCATTAAGAATTCTTTATTGAAGTAAACTATTCTCCAAGGATGGATCTCCCAAAGAACCATGTTCTTGGTATACACAACCTATGTTGCCTTCTACACAAAACTAAACAGAACCTGGGTAACCTTCAGGATACGGCAGATAAGACGCTGTTCTATGCTGCCATAAGTCATACAAGCTTCTACTTAAGTCTCTTGGAATTTTGTACCGGAGCTTTCCAACTTGGATTGTAAGTGCTATGTGCTGAGAATTACAAGCAATAAGGAGAGGCCACCTGTGTCTGCAGTTCAGAAGATTCTGAACTCCTCAAAGAACAAGGAATATTAACTGCAAGCCATTTCAGTGAACCACTTAGGAATTCCAGTCTAAGCAAGGCTTCAGATGACTGCAGATTTAACCAACATCCACTATAAATGAGTAAAATGTCCAGGGAAAAACTCCTCTGAGCAATCAACTTATGAAACCATAGAAATAACAAATAGTTTTTCTCAGCCACTAATTTTGTTTCACATCAATATATGATCAGATATTTTCTCTACCCATAAAAAAATAATAATAATCTGCTCATACTTGGTAGAGTATCTCTGTTGTCTACAACTGAGAATCACAATTATTATACACTTATTCAAAAATGCAATTAGTTTCTAACTCCATTTGTACATACACTTGCACAGTTTGTATTTAGAACATACAGCTTTTTTAGAAAATGAGCTACTATACAGTATGTGAATTTTTTTTCTTTTTTTGTGTGTGTTTTAGGGAAGGGCCTACAGGGTGTTCAGGGTCTCATTACTAGGTCGGACTCCTAGTGATCCACCTGTTTACAGCCTCCCAAGAACTGGGATTACAGTCTCAATTGTTATCTCAGCATGCCCTGGGGGTGGGGTCAGCATGACAGGCCCCAGGGATCGAACCCCCAGCCCCTGTGCCTGCTTGCAGGCACTTTAATCCGCTGAGCTATTTGGCTGGCCCATGAATTGTTTTTTCTTGATGGGCTATAAGGATCCAACTAAAGCCTTTTTTCTCATGAGACCCTGTCTCAAAAAAAAAAAAAATGTGAGACTTTGTTATATATATATATATATATATATATATATATATATATATATATATATTTACTGGCATTATTAAACCTGGTTAGCTAATGCTGCATATGGAACTTGTGTGTCACTGCTGTAAATGCTGCTATACCTCTTTTCAAGTACCTAGTTTTCCACAATGTATTTCTTTTAGCTTTGTTCATAACTAAGCTAGAATTATGCTGCATAATCTCCAATGAATCCATGCTATAATACATTTTCATTTACATGTCTTCTGTAAAAATAAACAAAATCCAGTAAAGTCCCTCATGCTTTAAGCATACATTATTACTCTCAACATTTGATTCATACATAGCAAATCTTTCCATACCCTTTCACACAAGCACTAGGATGAAAACATTAGAGTTACTTTCTCTTCCTTTTTAACAATTTATCACTAAATTCTTTTTTATATTGAAAACTACTTCTAGAATCTAATGATTTTTTCTCAAATTCACTCACACTACTCTCATCCCTAACCATAACACTGCAATAGTCTTGCAGTTATCTGGTTACATCAGGGGTCTTCTCCACACAGCCAACAGACTGACTATCTCAAAATATGGTAGATATCTCCATTGCTTCCTCAAACATTCTGCATGAATTTTGGTCCATATGAGGGCTTATAAGAGCTCTGTAGCCTCTGGTACCTTCAAAAATAAAACTCTGCTGTTCTGTAAACATACTATGGCCACTTACATGCCTTGATCTTTATTGTTTTCTCTTTCTGGAACACTGGCTTTCAGATACTTACATTGCTTGCCATGCCCAAGTATATCCATAGCAAGTATCACTTTCTCCCTGACTATCCTATTTAAAATTGGAATTTCTAGGCTTCTGAGATAGCTCAGCAGTCTAAACACCAGCCTACACAAGCACGAGGATCCAGGTTTGGTTCCCTACCACATGCTGTGTCTGCCCACCCCGGGCTGCCTAGCCAGCCACCAAGACCAGGTGTGGTAGTGCATGCCTGTCATCCCACAGCTCGGGAGGCTGACACAGGAGGATCACTATGAGTCTGAGCTGTGTAGTGAGACCTTGGACCAAACACATTAAATTAAAAAGAAAATAAAATTGGAATTTCTAGTCTTTGTCACTTTGCCTTGAATTTTTTGTTCACGGTGACTATCACTATCAAAATACAACTTTCCTTTTGTCCATTATATGTCTTGCCACACTGGAGCATTAGAACTGGAAAGACAGAACTTTATTTTGTTCACTAGTTTATTATCAGGGATCAGAACAGATCTTCTTACACAGTTGTATTTGTTGAGTATCTATCAGTGTGTTAAAATTCATATTAACAAATACATTAAAAAAGAGACCCTGCACCAAATACATAAAAAATAAAATAAAATAAGATTCATATTTAGGAGTGAGGCCATCCATCCCTGCCCTGATGACTGCTGAGGAGACTTGGCAGCCATAACCCCACCCCGCCCAGCCATCCCATCAGAGTTGTGCTGACTGTGGCAGCCCATCCTCACCCCAAAGACCACTAGGCAGATACTACCACAGCAAGCTCCAAGGAGCTTTGGGGAGCACGACTTTGTGCCAATCCACCCTAAAGAGAACCTTGTACAACTTTGGTCTGCACTCATCATAAGTAGATCCTTCTTCAAGTATGGCTTGTCCCCTCCTCCTTAATGAGGCGGTAGCCACATTGAACCCCACACTGAAGGAGTTTTGGTGCCTGCCCTCCCATTCTCTTGAGAGCCTTGCTGAACTGCAAGCTGCACACCTAACATCACTGCAAAAAAATGACAAAAGGAAGGAACAAAAGGTAACTTCAGACCTCTAGTCCACCCAAAACAAGGTCAGGAGACAAGGTCATAGAAGAATGTAGAAGTAACACATGTGACATTTCAAAGATGACAGCAACTGAAAATGATAGCAACTCCATCAGGCTATGGAGAAAATCAGATAAGAAATAAACTCTCAGGTAAAAATGGAAATGAAAACAATCATTAAAGAATTGCTCAATACATCTCATAAAGACATAGAAAAAAAATAGAAGAAAATACCAATGATAGAAACACTGAATGAGCAATACAGAAAAGAATTAGAATGTGTGAAACAGAATCAAAGAGATATCCAGGACATTAAGAATTCCACTGAAGGCTTGCAAAACCACTTGAATGAAACAGAAAACGGAATCTGAGGCCTGGAAGATAGCATTCCAGCTACAGAACACAAACTAAAAATCTGTTAAAAATAACAAGAAACCAGAATAACAAGAAATAACAACACCACAGCTGCAAGATGATGCAAAGAAAAATGATACAAGACTAATAAGCATCAATGAAACAGATGGAAATATCATAAAAGACATAAAAAGAGTGTTTGCAGAAGTAATAGCAGAAAATTTCCTAAGCATGGGAAAAGAATCTGATATACAAATAACTGAAGCTTATAGAAGTCCAGTTAGCCATAATAAAAATAAATCTTCACCCAGACACATAACAATTAAGATCCCAGAAGAGCCGGGGAGATGGCTCAGTGGAATAAGCACTTCCCTGACAAGTGTAAGGGCCTCAGTTTGATCCCCAGGTTCTGAAAAAAATAAATAAATAAATAAAAAGATCCCAGAAACTGAGCAAAGGAGCAGAATATTAAAAGCTGTTAGACAGAAGAAACAGATCAACTATAATGGAAAGCCCATCAGAATACAGCAGATTTCTCAACACAGACCACCCAATCAAGAAGAGCTTCAATATATTTGAAGTCCTGAAAGAAAACACCATTCAATGCAGACTGATGTATCCTGTAAAGCTATATCAAATTGAATCAAGAAAATAGATACTTCCCTGATAAAAAAAACAACTGAAGAAATTCATGACAATCAATCCAACCCTAAAAAGAATAATGACAGATATTTTAGAAAGAGACAAAGATGACCACAACTTCAACAATAACAGAAGAGAACTACCAAGCAGAGCAGGTAATTAAGCAAAGGGAAAAAGTAGGGATCCTACAGTAGGAAAGCAACATGACAAAGATTAAACAATA